ACAACACTCTACCGAGGGCAACAAAGTCAGACTTTGTCTTGAAAAAATATATAAATAAAAATTTTTTAAAAAGAGATGAATGGCAAAACAAAATGTGGTATATACACCACAGAATACTACGAATTCAGCCATGAAAAAGAATGAAATCCAGTCATTTGCAGCAACACAGATAAGCCTGGAGGATATTTTGATAAGTGAAATGACATAGGTACAGAAAAATGTTCCCACTCACATGTGGAAGCTAAGTAAGTTGATCTTGTATAAGTAGAGAATAGACTAGTGGTAACTAGAGACTGGGAAAGATGGGGGAGAGGCTGGTTAACAGCTACAGAATTACATTTAGAAAGGAAAAATAAATTCTAGTGTTCTATAGCACTATAGCATAACTATAAATAACAACAGTTTATACTTCCAATAGCTAGGAGAGGATTTTTTTCCTCTTTTATGAGAGGATTTTGAACATTCCTAACATTCAAAAATGATATCAAAAAATGATAAATTGTATGCAGTGATAGGTATACTAATTATTCTAGTTTGATCATTATACAGTCCATAAACATACTGAAATACTACACTGTGACCCATAAATATGTACAATCATTATGTACCAATTAAAAATAAAAATTAAAAAGATTTAGCAATGGGAGTATATAAATAACAGTCATAATAGCCATATAATGAAATAGCATACAGTTCTTTAAGGAAATGGTCTAGAACTGTATTAGGCACTGTTTTTTATTTATTTATTTATTTTCTTTTTTTCAGGCAGAGTCTCAAGCTGCTGCTCTGGGTAGAGTGCTGTGGCGTCATAGCCCACAGCAACCTCCAACTGGTGGGCTCAAGTGATCCTCTTGCCTCAGTTTTTCTTTTTTTTTTTTTTGAGACAGAGCCTCAAGCTGTCACCCTGCCTAGAGTGCTGTGGCATCACAGCTCACAACAGCCTCCAACTCCTGGGCTGAAGCAATTCTCCTGCCTCAGCCTCCCAAGTAGCAGAGACTACAGGTACCTGCCACAATGCTGGGCTATTCTTTGGTTGCAGCTGTCACTGTTTCACTGTTGTTTGGCAGGCCCAGGCTGGATTCGAACCCACCAGCTCAGGTGTATGTGGCTGGTACCCCAGCCTCTTGAGCCACAGGCGTAGAGCCCATTTTTTCTATTTTTAGTAGTGACAGGGTCTTGCTTTTGCTCAGGCTGGTGTCAAACCTGTGAGCTCAAGCAATCTACCTACCTCAGCCTCCCAGAGTGCTAGGATTGCAGGCGTGAGCCACCACAACCCACCTAGGCACTGGTTTTTAAAAGTATCCAACTTACACTATAAAATCAAATAAGGATGTTGTTGAGTATAATTTCATTACGGAGATTCTGAGAGCTAAAAAAAGAAATTAATTCTATATACTGGTAGAAGAATGGAAACAATGTGAAGATTTTACATCAAACTTTTAATCATAAATTTTGTTGCGGACAGAATTCTCTAATGAGTTTTATTCTCTAAGAATGGGACTTTTTTTTTT